GGTCTGATGCTCTCTGCAGACTACAATGAGATGCCGGGCTTGGGATGGATGGCGCTCGGTGCTCAGGTAGCGGTCACCCTGACCATCAGATGACCTCAGGAGTGTATAAAACGCTCATTAAACTGTGCGTTCTGGTGAGTGTGCATTTCTTCTGCACTTTATCGCACAGCACCTTACTACCAGGAAGATATGATTAGATGAAAGCACCTGAAGTCACTTTGAAATCACCATATGAACTGTTTATTTAATAATTTATTTCTAGAGTGTCTCTTTTCCAGCGGTGCATCTTTTGATTTATATTACTTACCCACCAAAGGTAGCACCCCCTCCCCCCCGCCTGACAGTCCCCTCTGCATGCACCATTGAAGACCCCTGTTGTCTCAGTAAAGAGAACCTGTCACAGCAAAATTATATCACAAGATTATTGGCCCTGTAATTGTAAACCATAGTAAATAAAAAAAAATAATAAAGTAACATATAAAGACTGATGATTGAGCTATACATGTTACAAACTGCCACAAACATCATAGTGAGGACATAAGTCTAGGACCATTATTTATGATTAACTCTATACCTGTAAAGGCTTTTAAAGCGACACCTATAGACAGTTTTGGGTACCAAAGTTTGCCACTGTTTTACTGCATGACATGTTGGGTATCTATTTTTCTTGTCACAAACTTATCTTTTATATTTTACAAAAAATATGGGTAATATATTGTGTTTGTGTGCACTAAAATTAACTTCAGTGTGTTTTTACAGAAAATTTGAACTTGATAAACAAGTGACATAAAAAATTGCTACTTAAAAAGAAAACAACAAAAAACACCATTTTATTCTCCAGGGTCTCTGCTTTTCAGAAATGAAATACTGTTTGGGAGATTCTAGGACCTAAAATGTGCATTTTAATGTGTCCTAAAATTGGGCTCTGGTAGTAAAGTGGGTAATCAACACAACAAAATATATATTTCACATACACCTGCTGATTTTCTATTGCTGATCACTTGGCAGTGGCAGTAAGAATTTCTGCCCTACTACATGGTCATCTTTACAGTTACAGCATGAAAATTTTCTTCATTGGTATAAAACATCATTATTTAAAATGACTTAGATACTTTACACTTCTCGTTTTAAATCATCAGCCATTAACTGTATATCTTGCTTGTGACCAGAGCTTTACATTTAATGATATGTATGTATATATATATATATATATATATATATATATACAGTCATGGCCGAAATTGTTGGCACCCTTGATATTTTCTCCAGGAAATCATGTATTTCTCACGAAACGTATTGCATTAACACATGTTTTGCTATACACATGTTTATTCCCTTTTGTGTGTATTGGGACAAAACAAAAAAAAGGGAGGCAAAAGAAAGCAAATTCGACATAATGTCACACAAACCTCCAAAAATGGGCTGGACAAAAGTATTGGCACCCTTTCACAACTGCGGATAATAAAGAATGTTACAAGCATGTGATGCTCCTGTAAACTCACCTGGGGCAAGTAAACAGGTGTGGGCAATATAGAAATCACACCTGAAAGCAGATAAAAAGGAGAGACGTTCACTTAACCTTTGCATTGTGTGTCTGAGAGGAGACGAGAACTGTCTGAGGTGACCAATTGAGAAACCAAAATTGTGGCAAAATATCAACAATCTCAAGGTTACAAGTCCATCTCCAGAACTAGATTTGCCTTTGGTCCACTGTGCGCAACATTATCAAGAAGTTTGCAAACCATGGCACTGTAGCTAATCTCCCTGGTCGTGGACGGATGAGGAAAATTGATGAAAGATTGCAACGCAGAATAGTCCGGATGGTGGATAAGCAGCCCCAAACATGTTCCAAAGACATTCAAGCTGTCCTGCAGGCTCAGGGAGCATCAGTGTCAGCGCGAACTAATCCGTCGACATTTAAATGAAATGAAACGCTATGGCAGGAGACCCCCAGGAGGACCACACTGCTGACACAGAGACATAAAAAAAGCATGGCAGACTACAGTTTGCCAAAATGTACTTGAGTAAGCCAAAAGCCTTCTGGGAAAACGTCTTGTGGACAGATGAGACCAAGATAGAGCTTTTCGGTAAAGCACATCATTCTACTGTTTACCGAAAACGGAATGAGGCCTACAAAGAAACAAAACACAGTACCTACGGTAAAATATGGTGGAGGTTTCAATGATGTTTTGGGGTTGTTTTGCTGCCTCTGGCACTGGGTGCCTTGACTGTGTGCAAGGCATCATGAAATCTGAGGGATACCAAAGGATTTTGGGTCGCACTGTAGGGCCCCAGTGTCAGAAAGCTGGGTTTGCGTCCAAGATCCTGGGTCTTCCAGCAGGACAATGACCCCAAACATACGTCAAAAAGCACTCAGAAATGGATGGCAAAAAAGCGCTGGAGAGTTCTGAAGTGGCCAGCAATGAGCCCAGATCTAAATCCCATTGAACACCTGTGGAGACTTTTATCTAAAAATTGCTGTTGGGAAAAGGTTTGTCCTTCCAATAAGAGAGACCTGGAGCTGTTTGCAAAGGAAGAGTGGTCCAAAATTCCGGGTGAGAAGTGTCAGAAGCTTATTGATGGTTATAGGAAGCGACTGATTTCAGTTATGTTTTCCAAAGGGTGTGCAACCAAATATTAAGTTAAGGGTGCCAATACTTTTGTCCAGCCCATTTTTGGGGTTTTGTGTGACATTATGTCATAATTTGCTTTTCTGCCTCTGTTTTATATTTGTTCCAATACATACAAAGGAATAAACATGTGTATAGCAAAACATGTGTTAATGCAATACCTTTTTTGTGTGAAATACTTGATTTTTCAGGAAAAATATCAAGGGGTGCCAACAATTTCGGCCATGACTGTATATGCTGTATGTGTATATACACACATACAGCCCATAAAAATGATGCGTTGCTTCATATATGGCTATTCTATAAACACGTATGGGAAAGTGTTCCTGATCCCTCGCTGAGCCGGATACAATGTTGCAACTTAGACCTGATCCCCAATGATGGAATTCAAAAATGGAATTCAAACAGAACAGCTTGTAGACTTCTAACCCGGACATAATGTTTCCAATAAAAATATGTCAGAGTAAAATAATACACAACTCATCGTACTGCTTCATGTTCAGTCGGCAGGGTCACGGCGTACAATGAATTGCATTTACGTTCATGCTGCAGGCTAGAGGTGACGCTTTTTGCGAGTTAAGAACATGTAGTCTCAGATTACAGTAATGTATCTTTTTAAAAAGCAGACCTTGTACGGATACATACAAATAGAACACAACGCTCTGTTTTTCAATAAAACTCCACAAGTGTTAAAAACAAGCAAACAAACAAACAAATGAACAAATAAACTTTTGTTTGCTAACAGTTCCTGCTTGAACCAAATCAAAATCAAAATGATTTTTCCTAGAACCATGTCAGGGCTTTATTGCTCAGAAAAGAAGAATAAAGTGGCATGTTAAAAGTCAAAAATTGAACATTTATTTATTTTGTATAATAAAGTATGGAATGGAGCTATACATGCATGCTATATAAACAACATTCCAGCTGTGATAAGAACATATGAGTGATATAAATCAATGAGTCCGAATTACAAAAACAAGTATAAGAACAAAAGTCCAAACTGATAATAAATAAAAGTTCAATATGAGTGACAGTCTATGTGACTAAAAGGTGCCAGGTTGTGGTGCTCCAAGAAATACGGTAAAATTACGCACTCACCGGATGCGTAAAAAATATACGCATTAAGTATCACATCCAGGGTTTCCCCATCAGATAAAGGTCTGGTCGGGGCGTAGTTAATCCTCCCTCAGGGTTTTGGTCAGCAATGCCCAGTAATTGATTAAACGGATCCAGGTAACCAGAGGTCCCTTTAAGGGACAGGTAGAAGAGGCTGCTTGCTTACAGGAAAACGTCCTTCTCTGGATATGGATGGTAGGTAGGTAACTGGATCACTCTGCAAATAAATACTCCTCTCCCTCCCTCCTCCACCTCTCTACATGTCCTAGGTGTTGGGAGGATTAACTACACCCCAACCAGACCTTTATCTGATGAGGAAACCCTGGATGTGATACTTAATGCGTATATTTATTACGCATCTGGTGAGTGCGTAATTTTACCGTATTTCTTGGACTCTTAGATATAAACAATAGAACTGTTTACATTTCCTGATTGCTGTGATTGGTCACTGCAGGGCTCATACGGTACAGAGCTGCTCAAATAGGCTCTGTACACTGTGTCTGTCAGCCCAATCACGGCTCGGGTCACAGCCATTAACGGCCACAACAGGCACCCAAGGGCAATTTTTGAAGTGGCATTTCTAAAGTTAAATAGAGTATGAATGACACCAGTTCCAGTGCTGTCACCCCCCCCCCCCATGCCTTCCCAACACTGGATGGAGCTGAGGATTTTAGGAAATAAATACCTATTTATTATGATCAGCTCTACCTAGCTGCCAAAATGGGGTATTCTATTGCTTCATTCTCTTCTTATGAATGGATAACATTTGTCCTGGAGAGAAAATAGCCCAAAAAAATTAAATTTTGCCAGCATTCGCACCAAACAAAGTACATGCAGTTTCAGAGGACAAACAGCTGTGCAAACATTTTTTTAAAATACACCCCCTTGGTGTTGTATAGTGACATTGCTTTCCTGCACGGCAATAAATCTAATGAACCAACAGAACTACAGTTTTCTAGATAAAAGGAAGCCGGCAGCTCGATCTTCGGCAATAAAAGAGTTTGTTAATCCGGTGTAGTGCAAAGTAATATTAGACTTATGCATTTCAACATGTAGTCTTAACCGCCTCCCGCCATATAAGGAAATGAAGGGCGCAAGGCGGTTCTCTCATTCTGGGAGGACGTCATATGACGTCCTCCCACTCTAACCACGCGTGCGCTCCCCCAGGGGTGCACAACGCCGTGATCGGTGGTGCGCTGTGTCCCTGGGACACAAAGGATCACCGATCAGCGGAAAGAGCCGATGACTTTGGCTCTGTCATGTGATCAGCTGTGTCCAATCACAGCTGATCGCATGTAAATAAGGAAATGCCGGTTAATGGCATTTCTCTCCTCAGCAGCTGTCACAATGACAGCTCGGGAGGAGAGGAGAGCCGGTAATCAGCATTCCTCAGAGGGGACATCTACACTGATCATCAGGGCACTGATGATCAGTGTAGCCCCATCAATGCCACCTGTCAGTTTTTATCAATGCCACCTGTCATTGCCCATCAATGCCAGCTCTCAGTGCCCATCAGTGCACATCAATGCCACATATCCGTGCTTACCAGTGCACATCAATGCCACATATCAGCACCCATCTGAGCTGCCTTTCAGTGCCAGTCAGTGCCACCTATCAGTGCTCCCAATCAGTGCCACCTATCAGTGCCAGTCAGTGCTGCCTATCAGTGCCAGTCAGTGCTGCCTATCAGTGCCCATCAGTGCCACCTAACAGTTCCAGTCAATGCCACCTAACAGTGCCAGTGAGTGCTACCTATCATTACCAGTCAATTCTGCCTATCAGTGCCAGTCAGTGCTGCCTATCAGTGCCATATATGAGTACTGCCTTTCAGTGCCCATCAGTGATGTCTGTCAATGCCTGTCAGTGCCACCTACCAGTGCCTCCTCATCAGTGCCTATCAGTGCCTCCTCATCAGTGCCCATTACTGCAGCCTCATTAGCACACATCAGTGAAGGAGAAAAATCACTCATTACAAAATTTTATAACAGAAACTAAGAAAAAAAACTTTTTTTTTTTTAAATTTTCAGTTGTTTTTGGTTTGTTTATCAAAAAATAAAAAACCCAGAGGTGATTAAATACCACCAAGAGAACTCTATCTGTCTAAAAAAAATGCTAACAATTTCATATGGGTACAGTGTTGCATGACCGCGCAATTCTTATTCAAAGTGCGACAGCGCTGAAAGCTGAAAAGTGGCCTGAACAAGAACGGAGTGAAAGTTCTTAGTAGGGAAGTGGTTAATCATAGCCATGGCGAAATGCAAAAGGACTGTATTATTTTGTACCACCCCTGGATTAATAAACTCATTTATTTCTGAAGATCGAGCTGCCGACTTTCTTGTATCTACATGTTTGCGCAGGTGCTAGGAGGACACTACTAGCCATTGCACTGACCGCTCACCACCTTGGGGAATGACAACATGTGTTTTCTACTATATTAGAATGACATATTCCCCATTATCCTTTGTATATGTAGACATAAAGCAGCTGCTACTCCAATATAAGACACTCATTTTTATTTCTGTTACCAAAAACGGAATCTCCAGACCAGGGACGGACTGACCATGTGGAAACTCAGGCACTGTCCGAGGGCCCAGGGTCAGTAGGGGGCCCCATGAGATGCCCCTGGTACCTTTTTCATAGGTTTTTTTGAGCTTGGGCAAGGACACAGGGGCCCCATGATCCCCTATTTCCCGGGGGCCCCATGAGTTGTCAGTCCGTCCTTGCTCCAGACACTTTAACTGATGAGTAAGGGACACACTGCCCTGTTCCACTGTATATCACACCTTTCAGTCTGTACATGTTTTATAACCTGATCCGTACCTCTCTGTAAATCATTAACCTGCAGGACAGTTATTTCCCGTTCTCCTCTCATCTATTGTCCCCCGTTCTGATGCAAGCCGCATTCTTTTCCCCAATGAAAAATTCCAGCCCTGCGTTCTGCCGCTGCCTTCTGATGTCACAGGAATGTATTTACATCTTTAAACTACCATCCTGTACCCTGCCAGCCGACTGTGCCAGGCACAAAAGAACTTTCCAAGTAAATAGTTTTCAAAGAGAATACCGTCAGATCTCTCCGGATTTTTGAAAATGCAGAGCAAGTGGATGACAGTTAAAAGTTAAGAAAAAAAAAGTAAAATCATCTGTAACAGTAAGCGAGTCCTAATCATTGATACACTATGTTGCCAAAAGTATTGGGATGCCTGCCTTTCCACGCACATTAACTTTAATGGCATCCCAGTCTCAGCCCATATGCTCCAATATTGAGTTGGTCCCACCATTGTTGGTGGTAGTGGAAGGATTAGTGCCTTATATCCCTGGAAGGAAAACTGCTGGATAAAGGCAAGCAAAGGGCCACAAACTACACTATATTGGCAAACGTATTGGGATGCCTGCCTTTACATGCACATGAACGTTTTTGGCATCCCAGTCTTAGTCTGTAGGGTTCAATATTGAGTTGGCCCGCCCTTTGCAGCTATAACAGCTTCAGCTCTTCTGGGAAGACCGTCCACAAGGTTTAGGAGGGTGTCTATGCGAAGGTTTGACCATTCTTCCAGAAGGGCGTTTATGAGGTCAGGCACTAATGTTGGACAGGAAAGCCTGGCTCACAGTCTCCACTCTAATTCATCCCAAAGGTGTTCTATCAGGCTGAGGTCAGGACTCAGTGTCTGTGCAGGCCAGTCAAGTTCTTCCACCCCAAACTGGCGCCTCCATGTCTTTATGGACCTTGCTTTGTGCACTGGTGTGCAGTCATGTTGGAAAAGGAAGGGGCCATCCCCAAACTGTTCCCACAAAATTGGGAGCATGAAATTGTCCAAAATGTCTTGGTATGCTGACACCTTAAGAGATCCCTTCACTGGAACTAGGGGGCCAAGCCCAACCCCTGAAAAATAATACCACACCATAATCCCCCTCCACCAAACTTTACACTTGGCAAATTGCAGTAAGGCAAGTACCGTTCTTCTGGCAATCGCCAAACCCAGACACGTCCATCGGATTGCCAGACAGTGAAGCATGATTGGTCACTCCAGAGAACACCTCTCCACTGCTCTAGAGTCCAGTGGCGGTGTGCTTTACACCACGGCATCAGATGCTTTGCATTGCACTTGGTGATGTAAGGCTTGGATGCAGCTGCACAGCCATAGAAACCCATTCCATGGAGCTCTCTACACACTGTTGTTGTGCTAATCTGAAGGCCACATGAAGTTTGGGGGTCTTTAGCTATTGACTCTGCAGACAGTTGGTGACTTCTGTGCACTGTGCGCTTCAGCATGCGCTGACCCCGCTCTGTCATTTTACATGGCCTACCACTTGGTGGCTGAGTTGCTGTTGTTCCCAGTTGATTCCACTTTGTTATAATACCACTAACAGTTGGTCGTGGAATATTTAGTAGCCAGGAAATGTCACGGATGGACTTATTACACAGGTGGCCACCTATCACGGGACCACGCTTGGAGTCACTGAGCTCCTGAGAGCGACCCATTCTTTCACAAATGTTCATAGAAGCAGTCTGCATGCCTAGGTGATGATTTTATACACCTGTAGCCATGCAGGTGATTGGAACACCTGAATCCAATGATTTGGAGGGCTGGCCCAATATAGTGTATCTTCCTTATTTTACTAATAATAATATGGCTTCTATGACCACTAAAGTGATATCATATGTGCAGTTTTTAAGCACGTTCAGCAGATGTTTTATTTGTTTATGGAGTATGCAGCTTCTTTATGTTTTATCTTTGCCTATGTTCAAGTTTAAGTTGGTTCCATGACCACTGCTCCAGATTTTCTATTTCAGGGTGGCTCCTTATCCTTGCAGCGTCTTATGGAGCCATCCTTATGTAGCAGTACCCTCTTGAGGGCCGCAGTGTTTCTGGGTCCCCCTAACCTTCACACAGCCAGGCAACATGCATTTTCTACACTTGCATCCATAGTCAGTGAACAGACCATGAGCTTGGTTTTTTGGTGATTATATTAGGGGAAATAACTTGGATGGGGTAATAGAGATTATGGGATGGCCAGCTTGACGGAATCAATGCACAGAGACAACTCCCTTCCTATTTACAGAAACAGATCCTAGACTGTTCTTCTCCTTGAATATGGTCAGTCTTTATGGATCAGTAGCAAAAAAAACCCTTACTGGCTAAGTACTCTCAGCCCCTCAGAAAGGTAGCATAGATTATTGCAAACTACATGCAGAAGTATCTCCTCTCCCTTGTAGAACTGCTCCCAGCTCCACAGCCTGCAGACACTACCAGCCCTCCTGGCTGCTCTGAAGATCTTCCAGGACAAGGATAAAGGGTTAAGCACAGTGCTGTCCTTTCAAAGCTTGCTGCACCTGGCAGTCTCTTTTGCAAATCTCAGGGTGTGCTGATGTACTCACACTGTCCTCCTTGCTCCTAGACATTGATCCTGTTCATACCGTAATGATGAATGGATCATCCTGAGCCAGGCCAACCCTGGCCTGGAGGCAATCCCTCTCCCCATAGACCTAGGAGAACCCCCAGGCCACCAACGGCCTCCTCAGTACTCCACTTTCCTCCCAACTCCCCCGATAGCATGCTCTCTCATATTTATGGGTTAGCCTACCACACTACATGGGCCTCCAAACCTAAGATTGGTCAGACTTCCATAAACATGCAGATTCAGGTCCCCAACCCTTCTTCCATGGTCCTCCAGAACCAGGTGGAGGTGAGTCCCAACCTGCTGAGTCACCCAGCCTGGCCTGCAGTAACCCGACCTAATTACAGACTCACACAGTTAATCTTGAGTCATACCATAATAAATTTACCTACACTAACACTAGTAGCACATTAGAGGGTGCTACACTTGAATGCAGAGAACCAGGGGTGCTCAACCTTTAAAGAGTGAGGGCCACTTAAGTAATTTGGTAACCGGTCATGGGCCATAATGAAATAAAATGGTTCAGAATCTTGATTTTTTAAAATTTTGAATAATGAAGATTTTAAACAAGAATCAGCATCATAATTTTCCGCGGGACCAATCCCCGTTGGATGTGTACACACTGTTTAATCACAGTCATAAAAATCTATTTTTTTTGTTAACCAGATCCCCATTAATCCTACTCTCATACTCAACTGTAACCAGCCAAAAAAGCTCTGAACCAGTGTTGCAGCCCTCCCTATATCAGGATCTTTGCAGCCATCCCTTGAGTTGGCAAAACAAGGACTGTGGACAATCTAAACAAAGAACAACAGACCACATTCCCTAGTAGTGCAATAAACTTCTTTATGAAGCAAAGATAAAAATGACACATAATTAAAGTTGCCACCTCTTCCCTTTAAAACCGAACACATATTATTTACACAGGTTCTGGGGCTAATTTTATGCAGATAAGGCTCTAAATTAGCCTAATAAACACCTTAATCAGTCACAGAACCCGTGTAATTAATGTGTTCGGCTTTAAAGGGATGAGGTGGCTACCTTACCAAGGGCGGACTGACAACTCATGGGGCCCCCGGGCAATAGTGGATCATGGGGCCCCTGTGTCCTTGCCCAAACTCAAAAAAGCCTATGAAAAAGGTACACCAGGGGCATCTCATGGGGCCCCCTACTGTCCCCGGGCCCTCGGGAAGCGCCCGAGTTTCCAAATGGTCAGTCCGCCCCTGAACCCTACACATAATGCACTCACATGCTTCCAGAATGACACC